GTCGCACGTACACCACCAGACACGTCCTCTTCTATGAAACTCAGTTCCCACTCAAGCATCACTTCAATCAGCCTTCCTTGCACCAACCGGATCACATCTCCACCATGCCCCCTCTGCTTCTAACACCCTCCTCCACTATCACTCCCTCCACTACCACTCACTCACTGCCTCCTCACAATTCCGCCAGCTCCAACCAGATCTCCGACACACAGCCAGACACTTCCTCCAACTTGCCCCCTGAGACTCTCAGCTCGTCCAACCAACCCCCTCACACCACACCTCCTATTCATCAAATGCAAACACGCCTCAAATCTGGTATCCGCAAACCAAAGCCGGTCTTCAATCTGATTGCCCAAGTTACTCCTCCTGTCACTCCTACTACCTATCTTCAGGCGCTTAAATCCGAACCTTGGCGGGCGGCAATGCAGGCAGAATTCACCGCTCTTCAACAGCAATCCACCTGGTCACTAGTCCCTCCTCCTCCCGGCAAGCCTGTCCTAGGTTGCAAATGGACATACAAGATTAAGCTTCTACCCAACGGGACAGTCGACCGCTATAAGGCACGACTCGTAGCTCTCGGATATAATCAGAAATTCGGCATCAACTACAATGAGACCTTCAGCCCGGTTGCAAAGATGCCTACAATTCGTCTACTCCTTGCTCTTTCTCTCAACCGTGACTGGACAGTTTATCAACTGGATATAGCCAATGCTTTTTTACATGGCGACCTACCAGACGACATCTACATGCGGCAACCTCCGGGCTTCGCCGATCCAACCCAACCAAACGCAGTGTGCAAACTACAAAAATCACTCTATGGCCTAAAGCAAGCACCGCGACAATGGTTTCAAAAGCTTACGAGTTTCCTACAACAACTTGGATTTGGGTTCAGTCGTTCCGATCCCTCACTCTTGATCTTTAATCAAAACGGTATCTGCATATACTTGCTAATTTATGTAGATGATTTTCTGGTTACAGGTAACGATGCTGCAGCCATTAGCTGACTTCTCTCCAAACTCAAACAACAATCCGCTCTCAAACAGCTAGGAGACATCTCACTTTTTCTCGGAATCCAGGTGACCCGTACTAAACATAGTTTCTTTCTTTCTCAAGAACACTACGCTTCCAAAATCCTTAATGATGCAGGGTATAAGGATTGCAAGTCCGCCCCAACACCGATTACTCCCGTCAATCACCTGAAGAAACCAAACTTGCAGCCGCATCCCGACCCGTCCCTTTACCGTCGCCTCGCCGGCTCCCTCCAATACCTCTCGATCACCAGACCCGACATAGCGTATGCCACCAACCGTGTCTGTCAGCATATGCAAACTCCCACAGAACAGGATTTCCACGACCTCAAACGGCTTCTACGATACGTCAAAGGAACTCTCACCTACGGCTTACCAATCACACATGGCTCTCTGACTCTTCGAACCTACTCAGATGCAGACTGGGCATCCGATGCAACAGACCGCAAGTCGGTATCCGGCTTCTGCACCTTCCTCGGCCCCAATCTCATCTCCTGGATAGTGAAAAAGCAACCCACAGTTGCCAAATCCTCTACCGAAGCTGAGTATCGCTCTCTATCCGCTGCCGCGTCAGATGTCATCTGGCTTCGAAGACTCACTGCCGAACTACAGCTCCCACAGCCAACTCCGACAACAATCCACTGTGATAATACCTCCGCCATGGCCATAGCCAAAAATCCGGTTTTTCACGCTCGAACGAAGCACATCGAGATCGACTATCATTTTATTCGTCAGCACCTCCATTCCGGCAATATCAAACTCGAACACATCTCATCCGCCGATCAAATAGCTGACATTCTCACTAAACCATTCTCGATATCTCGGTTCTTGGAATTACGCACCAAATTAACCACTCGGTCACGGAGTGCCTAATTTGAGGGAGGATATTAGCACCATAAAAGAATCTGTTATAACCGTTGCCTTGTATTTACCTTTCTGTCCTAAGCTTAGTCTATTTAATACTTGTATATGTACCAATTTACATATGATGAAATAATAGTGCATTCTCTGTTTTCTTTCTCACGGTTCTCCAGCTGCTCCGTTTTCCTTCTTTCTCCATTCGCCCTCATTGGGTCAGTAAAACACTTTGGTATAAGCATTGACAAAATGATGGCCTAATAATTACCTATGATATCATATATACGACATAAGTATGAAAATGACCACACAACAATTTTTTCATCCAACTTAATTGAATCCACCATGTTTCAGCCCCACTAAGTTCGCATGCCACATATTTGATAGATTTCTCTAGTGCTATGTGCATATACTAAAAAAAAAAATTCACGATTTATTTCCCGTGAATGTTGTTTCAATAATAATATTACCGCAAGAAAGGAATACTTTTTTTTTTTTTGCTCTATCTTCACTCTATGTGTGTATTGTTATTGTTAAAAAAAAAATGTATATTGTTGTCAGTTTTGTTGGTAAACTTAGAAAGTGATTGTAATCTACTACTCTGAATCTAAAATTCTAAATAGTGTTAGTCTTCTTTTTTTTTTTTTGGACATTTAGGTCATTTAAGTCAAATTCACACTCACAACGCATACACAAAGACTAGACTCAAAATCTCTTAATTGGAAGCAAGCTCTCAACCAACAGACCATATGATGAGCTGTGTAAATAATTAGTCTATGTGCGAAGAATTTGATCCTCGTCAAAATTAGTAAGTTTACAAGGAATTCTACTCTGCTCTTTCCTTAAAAATTTTTTTTTCGACATTTGGATACTTCCAATGCACTTTCTGTTTGGTTTACTTAATATAAAGATTGAAGGGCTGAAAGTAAGCGGAATTCCGTCTAAGTTCATCGCTTTAATTACGGTCAAGGAAAATTTAGTTGACCTTCCTTTTAATGAAAGGAATTAGGGTCACATTCAATCAATTTTATTAAATAAAATTTTAATTAATTATAAAATGACAAAAAAAATATCCTCAATAAAATATTATTATGGCTGTCAAAAAATAGACCTCCCAATTAAAATTGTGAAAATGTAAAGGTAAATTTTAAAAGTAACTATCATTAATAAATAAATTATGCGATTAAGTATTGTTATATCATTAAAAAATTATTTTGATTGGGCACGAATATCCTTGTAAAATTGGGTTGAAAGTTTATGTAATTAAATTTGGGACCATCCAAATTCTGATTTAAATAAATTTACAGTCGAACTAAATATCTCAAAAATACGAACTAAACGACGACAAATTCGACTTAATCCAAGCACAAATGGTTCCAAATCGAAGACTCGAAACACATTTGGAAGGTTCAAAACATAATTTGGATCACCAAACCAATTCCAAACAGGACATGCTTATAGTTGAATCGAGCGGCTCGATGAAACGAATCCAACGAGCCCAAGATTGCCAAATTATGATATTATTAAGATATTCAAATGCCCAATAAATGATCCACGATCAAAGAGATCAATATCGGTCGTCCATTCAAATCATTCCAAACATACCCATTTTAGGGTTTATGATATTATTAAGATATTCAAATGCCCAATAAATGATCCAAGATCAAAGAGATCAATATCAGTCGTCCATTCAAACCATTCCGATCAAAAATATCTCTCTTTATTTGCTCGCCATGCTACTTCTAGAAATTATAAATATACCCCTCATTCCTTATAGAAATGGGAACACAAGTAAGGAAGAGAAAGAGGAGAGAGAGATTAGAGTTCTCTTATCACTAGACACCTTCTCGACCACTGACAGACCACCGATCATCGCCGAACTATCGTTGAATTTATGCCTAGTCACCGAGTGAAGCCAGACTTCTGTTCGACAACCAATTAACATCGGACTTTCGTCTGGCCTTAATTATTAAACAAGATACATAATCCATTAATTATTAAAGTTAAACACCTGTTTGAAAAGCTACCTTAACTAAATTTTATAACATGTATATAATTGCTTTTCATATTTACTTTTTAAACACCTCGAAATTACTAATTTTGTTAAAAAGACACAAAAAATTATGGACAAATAAATCTTATAAGTGGTGAGCAGCGAAAACATAAATGAAGGATTCTAAAGACCATATATGATATTGACTAAAGGCATCATCTCTTTGCAAGTTATATGTGATTGTCATGGATGACAACCTTTGGTCTTTTTCGTCCCTTACTTTTCAGATTTGATAAATTGATAGACTAGCGATCTTCTTTTGTAAATTGGTGGTTCAATAAGTACTTAGGCTAATGTCCAATTCTTATTTTAAGTTTTTGGACTACAACACATTTTTTATTTTCCTCTCCTTAAATTTCACACTCTTTATTGTTTATTTTAGAAATTTCGAGACTTATTGATTAAGATGACTAGTGTTTTGATCCAGCTCATTTTGATATGTTGATTGGGAGCTTTGACTATCAACCAATAGATTTTGGATCCGAGTCATACTAAGTTAAGCATTGCAGGGATGAGGATGCTCATGTTGATGAGTGGCTTTACCCTTAAAGATAGAATACCAAATGAGCATATACATGAAAAGGTTGGAGTAGCACCAGTGGAAGATAAGATTAGATAGAGTCGCCATAGATGATTTGGTCACATAAAACGGCAGCCTTTCAATGACCCGATTAGGAAAGTAGAGGTATTATATTTGACTTATGTTAAGAAAGATAGAGATAGACCTAAAAAGATTTGATTATAAAATATTAGAAATGATCTTTTTAAACGTAGTGAGACAAAGACTTGATGTTGTTATTGTCCTAGAGAAGATGAGAAAAATATTATTCAATATTGAGTGGAATAGTTCCACAATATTATGAACAAATTAAAAACATTTTCATTAATTGTAAAATTTTTATCATATTTTTCTGAATAAATATTAGCGGACATTTTATTAAAAAATAATATATTATTATGAGAGATGTAACGTCGAATTTTTCTGTATGTTTCTCCAACAAAAATTAATAGCGTATAATTTAAGAAACTTGATAATATAATAATTTAAAAACGACATCCAACCACCAGGGGTACCGATGGTAAACGTCTACCCATCCTCCTCTGCCCCTCTCGCTCATTGTATCTGCCAGTACTTTCTCTCCTCTCCCCCCAATTCCCGATCCGCGCTTCCTCTTTTAACCTCTCTATCGTCCGCCGCTACCCCCCGCCGGCGAAAATGATGCACATGACCTTCTATTGGGGGAAAACCGTCACGATCCTCGTAGATTCGTGGCGCACCGATTCCTGGATTTCCTACCTGCTCTCCCTTATCGCTCTTTTACTCGGATCTGCCTTCTACCAGTTCCTCGAAGACCGCCGGGTCCGCTTCAAGCTCCTCTCCAAATCCAATCACTCTTCTCTCGAGATTCCCCTCCTCGCTAGCCGCGCCGGCGGTCGATATGCGGCAAGGATTTTCACTGCAGTTCTTTTTGGCGTAAACTCTGCGATAGGGTATCTGCTCATGCTCGCTGTTATGTCCTTCAATGGAGGCGTTTTTCTGGCGGTGGTGATTGGACTAACGTTGGGCTACTATGCTTTCCGAAGCGGGGCGGAGGAAGATCTCATCGCTTTGGATAAATCCTGCGCCTGTTCGTGATCTGATCAATATCAAACTGGTATTTCAGGGTGGCTATTTCCCTTTGTGAAAATTTCTTCCCCTTTTACTTAATGATATAGGTTCTGTGTTGCTGCGGTTTAATTTGTTAAGGAATATAAGATTGCGGTTTATCCGTTTATGTATTTGTGCGGTGGGGTTTTTATGATTTGTGGATTAGGGATTTGACGTAAAAAGATAAAGGCGAGGGAGAACAAAGTTATTGTATCGGTAATGCATACTGTCTATGGATTTGCAACAGATAATAAGTTGTTTACTTCATATTTACTCTATCTTATCAGCTTGTTTTGCGAGAAAACTGATTAGGTTTTCACGGTTTAGGATTTCTCGTTGGAGGTGCCCTTTTCCCTTTTTCCCCCTTTTTCTTCCTTTAAGATGAAGAGAATGAATTTGATAAAAGCCATTAAAGGGCTTTCTGCATTTTATGGCTCATTTGGTTGATCTTTGTTATGGAACTTGTTGGAAAAAGATGAAACAATGAAATTCTTTCTTTTAATTGAAAATTTCTAAATATATTTTTAAAATAAGAATTTAATCTTGTTATTTAGCTTTCTGCAATCAAAATTTATCTATGAGGCTAGGTTGTATCCGACTGCTAGATGATTATCTTTGTCCGGGCCATGAATTGAAAAGTTATGACAGCAAAAGCCACGGAGTCGGGAAATTTTTAAGGGACATAAATTATATATATTAAAAAATATTATCAATACTTTTTATTATATATATAATTTTAATGATTTTTAAGAAATATATGATTTAAATATTTTTAAAATTATATTCGCAAATAAAAATATAAGATATATAAAGATAAATTAAAATTTTAAAATGAGCACATGCTTGCTTATGATCCCTTTCCCTTAAATTCGCCCTTAGTTGGCAATGTTTTGATGGTTGATTATCTTAGAAATTTTAGCAATGTTGTCTTCTCACACTTTAGACTTTACAGAGGATTGAAGAAATAGCTTTTGAAAAAATTGATGCACACAGTTCATCTTGGCCTGTTGGTTGAGAGCTTATGCTTCCAACTAAGAGTTTTGAGTTCGAGTCTTTGTGTATGCATTGTGTGTGTGAGTTTGACTTAAATGGCCTAAATATCCAAAAAAAAAAAAATTGATGCACGTGACTGTGAGATTATATTAAAAGATGCACATTATGTTTATATTACTAAAACAAAAAAGCTTTTTGATAAATAAATTTGTCATGTATTAAATTCTTAAAATTTAAAATAATCGAAGTGTTTCATTTTGAAATAATCTTTCTCAAAATTATAGAATTATTGTATTTATTTTTTGTGAAAATGTAGTTTTTATGTAAAAAATAAGAAATTATCTAAATTTTAATATTATCTACATGCCATGTATCATATCTGTACACTCGCTTGCTCTGCTAGGGTTTCCGCCGACTTCTCTGTAGCAATGAGTGTTGACGTTTTCGAGGTTGATTCTTTCCGTTTTTCTTCAGGTATCTTCTGTTTATTTCATGGCTTCCGTCCGCCTTCGTGATCCTGGTTTCCTGAAGGGGGCTGCTTCGTCTCTTTCGTTTAAAGACGCTTTAGCTGGCTCGTCGTCTAATTTTCCTGAGTTATGCGTATCTTCTCATCGTGGTTTACCGGCTCTGTTGGTTTCTGAGGAAGAAATTCGGTCCCTTGCGGCACCTTTTGATTTCGCTTTGGTTGGCCGTTTTCTGGGTAGGCGTCCGTCTGCTGATGCGATTCGAAATTCTGTTTTAACTTAAAGTTGATAGGTGAATTCTCGGTCACTGTTCTTAATTACCGGAACGTTTTGATTAAGCTAGTGAATGATTTTGATTATTGCCGTATGTTCTCTCATAGATCCTACTTTGTTCAAAATTGCTTCATGAAAGTGGTGAAATGGTCTCCCGATTTGAATGTTGAGGTGGACTCTCCTATTGTGCCGATTTGGTCTCTTTCCCCCTTCTGAGACCTCATTTATTCTCTCCTAGAATCCTTTCTGCTCTTGGTTCTCTTTTTGGTCGTCCTCTCAAGTCGGATATGGCGACTGCGTCGGGCTCTTGTCCGTCCATGGCTCGTATCCTGGTTGAATTGGATGTCACGAAGAAATACCCTGATAAAATTTGGGTTGGATCTGTGAAAACGGGCTATGTTCAATCGGTTACTTTTGATGACATTCCTTTGTTCTGCATGCATTGTCATTCCTTAGGTCATTCTAAGGATGCCTGTCATGTTTTGCATCCTATTGCTAAACCTGTGGTTGCTCTGTCTGGGAAACCGAAAGTGATTAATGGTAGCTCTAAGGATTTTAATACTGTGCTGGATGTTGTCGATAAGGATTCTAATGTTGCTGCTACTTTGTTATCTCCGAATGCTCTACCCTTTGTTCCCCCTTCTGTGAATTTGAGTTCTTTGGTGCCTAATGATCATGCGGTTTCGAACTCTCTCCCTCCTGGCTCTGTGTCGGCTAACATTGTATTTCCTCTGGCTAAGGATGTGAGGGAGTGTGATATTAATGATAATTTGGTGGTGATTGAGGGTTCTTCCTCTATTTCTTTGGGTGAGCCTGGTGCTGTTTCTAGGGAAAATTTGGTTGTTGGAACTACAGGCACATTACTTGAACTTGTTGAGGTAGGACGTGCTGGTGTGGTTGAGCTTGATAAAGTGGTTGATTCGTCGCCTGTGGTGGGTGAGGAATTAGTGAGCTCGCCTGTGAATGAGTGCCATAGAATTTTGCCTGGTGAAGCTCCGGTTTCACCTGCTGTTAATGCGGTTGTTAATGCAGATTCATTGCGGGTGGACAATTTGAATGGACTTGCGATTAGTGCTAATAATCTGGTGGATGTCCCTGCAAACGTGATTGATACTATCAATATGGTCAATCTTTTAGGTGTCAGACCTGGGTTAGATATTAGGAATCATGTAAATTGGCTACATGTTTCTTCTGATGCTGAGTCTGAATCCGAATTTTCGGAATGTGATGTGGCTTCTCCTGAATTTTTTTGTGGATCGGACCCAGGGAACGATTTTGCTTTGGTTCGAGATAGGCCTGTACTCTCGGTTGCCTCCCGTGGTCGTTCTCGTGGGAGGGGCCGTCGAAGGAGATAATTGGACTCAATGTTTTTGGTGTTTTGCTCTTTTTTTTTGCTACTTGCATTGTTCTGTTGTCTGTTGGTTGCTGGTTTGGATCCGGACTATGATGTGGCTGGGGCTCGTGTCCTCGTCGCCTTGTGGTGGCAACCTTTGGTGATATCCTTCGTGTTGGTGGGTTCAGTAGCTATTTTCATCTTACTGGACGGCCCGTTCAAGGCCTCAGGGATGCTGGGAGCTTAGGCTAAGTACTGAGTCCTTTTTGTCATTGGATTCTCCTTTTTTTTTTGGCTTTGGTTCTTCAACTTGTAACCGTATTTGATTTTTGATTAATATAATTTCTTGTTCTGTTAAAAAAAAATCTGTACATTTAAATTCGTATGGATCTGATTGATCAAATTTTTATGAGAGATTGAACTGAATTCAATAAGTTGTTGATAATTAATTGATTTGAACAGTCTACGACTCAAAATTCTCCAAAGCTCAACTCTCTTAGAGCATAGAGTTGCCAATAATCTAATATTGTCGGATCACCATGAACTTGAGAAACCATTGAATTTGCTCGAAGAACTCACAAAGCACGGCGGAGCCAAGATGTTTTTCATGAGGCGCACAAACTATTGAGTTAAAAATCCATTTTATTATTAAGAAATAATTATTGAATGTGTCTGAATCTGAAATAATGTTTTTCTAAATTAATAACTAATAAACAAGTCTTCAAATTTGCTTAACCACAAAATGGTTTCCAGTTGATTCTAAAGTCGATCAATAGCAACCATTTAGATTATTTGTTTCTCAGATTTAATCACAAATTTGTTCTTAAATAGAAGAGAGAGAGAGAGAGAGAGAGAGAGAGAGAGAGAGAGAGGAGAGAGAGATGCCCACTACCGGTGTCGCCAGCCGACATAAGATGCCAAGATGATCGCACACCGCCTGGGTGCCGTGTCGATGCCACAATGATTGAATGCAGAAGTGTCTGGATATCGCATGTAAATATGATGAAGCGTGTGGGGTTTGAGGAGACGGAAGAAAATAATATGAATTAGGTGGTAATTGATCATTACCATAATTAGACTTAAATTAGTGGTAATTAACAGCCAGCCAGCCAACCAACCAACCAGCAGGGGCCAGTGCAGAAATTTATCTATATAACTCGAATAAACATGCCTTTTTCTATCAAAGAGATTCAAACAGATTCATTATAAATCAATTTAGCAGAACATTTATTTAAGATTCTCTCTATAAATGTAATAATATATATTCCATAATGTCTCCAGATCTCGCCGGCACTCAAGTTCGTTGTATCGAACATCAAAAACATCATTCTGATACAACTAGCGTCGGACAACTACAATGTCGGGAAGTTTCAGATTCTAAAAATCTTTCGTGCATATGGGTTTCTCAGGTTTCTTGAACCCTCTCTTTCGACATCTGATCAATCTTCTTCTCAAATCGAAAACCCCTCTACAACTATTTTGATTTCAACGCAATCACTTCTCACCGACCAAATCCTCTCAGCCGCGCTTTGTTCCACTATATCCGCCTCCATCCTCCTTTACATGGTTCATCTTGAATCCACTACAACCATCTGGACGCTTCTTGAAAACAGGTTTCAATCCAAGAACAGATCAAATGTTATTCAACTCAAGAATAACCTGCACAATATCTCTCTCAAGAACTTATCGATGTCTCAATATCTTGCTGAAATCAAAACTATCGTGGATCAAATAGCTGGAGCTGGATCGGTGGTGGACACTGAAGACATCATAATGTATATTTTGAACGGGCTGCCTAACTCCTATCAATCCTTTAAGACAGCTATCAGGACAATGCTTACCCCAATCACACTTGATCAACTATACCCTCTCCTTCTTAGTGAGGAAATTAACTTGGCATCTGATGCTGCTCGAAGCACTACTCCTGCTGATCAAAATCTCGCATTATACTCGACGAGAGGTCGAGGACATAGCTCCAGAGGCAGAAACAATTCAAACTCCAGTCGCACGCCCACATCTACAACGATTTTCTACCAGATATGCCTCAAGAGAGGACATTCGGCTCCAGACTGCTGGCATCTCCTCAATCCATAATATATTCCGTCGACTGGCAATGGCAACAACAAAGCCCTTGTTGCCAACTCAGAAAGTTCCTCGGCGAATTGGTTTCTTGATTCAGGATCAACGTCTCACCTCACCAACTCTCTCAATAACA